GAGTCAGCCACAGTTTGTTATGATCCACACAGTCAAAAACCTTTGCATAGTCAATGAAACACAGATAGACATTCTTCTGGTATTCCCTGCTTTCAGCTAAGATCCATCTAGCTTCAGCTACAATACCAACAATCTGTGTTGTGCAGATGACACAACCCTGCTTGCTGAACCTGAGGAGGACCTGAAGTACTTGCTGCAGAGGGTCAAGGACTGCAGCCTACCATATGGATTGAGGCTCATTGTCAAGAAGACAAAGGTTCTCACCACTGGACCACTTGACAGCATCAGGATGGATGGTGAAGAGATTGAGATTGTTCACAGCTTTAGTTTGCTTGGCTCCACAGTCAACACTCTTGGCACCAGTAGTCAGGAAATTAAAAGGTGCATTGCATGGGAAAGTCAGCTGTTAGGGACCTCTCGAAAGTACTGAAGAGCAATGGTATCTCTTTGGAGACTAAGGTGCGTCTGATACAGGCCATGATTATGCATCAGAGAGTTGGACAATGACCAGGAAGAATAGAAGGAGAATCGGTGCCCTTGAGCTGTGGTGCTGGAGAAGAGTATTGAGAGTACCATGGACTGCTAGGAAAACAAACTGATTCATCCTGGAAAGGGTTAAACCGGGTGGCTCCTTGGAGGCAAGGATTCTGAGGCTCCGTCTAACATACTTTGGACATGTTGTGAGGAGAGATCGGTCCTTGGAGAAGGACATCATGCTTGGGAGGGACAGCGCAGGAGAGGAAGGCCCCCTAGGAGGTGGATTGATTCAGTGACTGGTATAATCGGGATGGGAGTGTTGGAGACAGTGCGATTGGCACAGGACAGAGCAGAGTTTAGGGCTGTTGTACATAGTCGCTATGAGTCACAAGTGACTCGACGGCACATAACAACGTGTAAGGGAGCTCCAGTTGTGCATAAGGGAGTTCTCGTCTCTCTCTCCTTTCTTCTCTCCCCTCCCCTCTGTCTGTCCTGTCTTCTCTCTCTCTCTCTCTCTCTCTCTCTCTCTCTCTCTCTCTCTCTCTCTCTCTCTCTCAGCTCTGCCAATGTAGTCTGTAGTGAGTTGTGATGCTAATCTGAAGGCAGCACATCATCTCAGGCAGTTTGAATCCACTAGCTACTACAGGGGAGAGAGATGGGGAGTTTTCTCCATTGCACTTTATGGCCTCAGAACCCTGATAGAGGAATTTTATGAGTTAGAACCAACTAGACTGCAGTTAGTTTGTATGTGTGTGTATATATATATATATACATATGTTATTAAATATACTCTCCCATAAGGCTAGCATGTGCACACACACTTATACACACCCCAAATTCTGATGGCATAGTCTGTAGGGATTTGTGCTATAACCTGGAAGTCTGTGCCTCTTTGGTGGTTCAAGTCCTCCTCCAGTGGCTTTATGGAAGAAACATGGACAATTTCCTCCCATGCAATAGAAATATTTCCAGAGTATTAGATGGGGTTGGATGGAGAGGGTTTGGCTTATGTGAATCCAGAAATAGAGCCGTATTCTTCACTCTGTTCTGTTTTGGCTCTGATCCTTGATTAGGGGGCGTGGAAGGTGGGAAGACATAGGATAGGTTTAAGTGTAGTGCCTATTCTTATAAAAGGATGCATTTTTCTATTCCATTGACTAGAAGTTCTTAAAATTAGTCATATTAAAAACCCATTTATGAGACCACTTGCATTTAAAGATCAAGTGTCAGTGAAAGTACTTTTTGTGAGGTGATAGACAATCTTCTTTTGGTTTTTGGTTGTAGTTTTAATCTTATAATTAGATTTGACAGCCACTTCTGTAATTGCCCCTTGTTGTTGCTATCTGGTGTTGTGGAGTGAGCCCTGACTGAAAGCAACCTTTACGTGTAAGAAAACAAACCCCACCTGATTGTGTGTCATTGCAGACTCTGCTGTGCTCAGTCCAGTGGTGTGGTCTCTGTGTTGGTCCATCTCATTCAGGGTCTTCCTCTTCTCTCGCTAATTTTCTACTTTTCCAAGCCCCTAATGACATGCTCAAAGTATACAACACAAAGCCTCACCATCTGTGCTTTTAAGGAGCATTCTAGCTTCATTTCTTCCAAGACAGATTTGTTTGGGTGGGTTTCTTTTTTTCTTTAGAAGCCCATGGTATATTCAATATTATTCACCAGCATCATAATTCAAAGACATCAATTCTTTGGTCTTTTCCCTTCATTGTACACCTTCCATATGAATGTGAAGCAATTGAAAATACCATGACTTGGGTCAGCCTTTAGAGTGATGTCTTTATTCATTAGCGCTTTAAAGAAGTCATAGCCACAGATCTGACCAATGGCAAGAACTCTGATTTCTTGACCACTGCTTCCATGGCTGTTGTTTCTGGATCTTATAAAGTGAAATCCTTGACAACTTCAAATTTTTCTCCACTTGTCACGGTCCTTTTGTGAAGATTTTTGTTTTCTTGATGTTGAAATACAAACCTAACCATATGCTAATGTCTTTGAATTCCATCAATAAAAACTTATTCAATTAATTCTCAGAGTGTACAGGTGAGATGGACACAGGGATGTCCCTGGCTCTGGCAGGGTAAGCTCTGACTTGGTGGGGCAGATGCCAAGCTTGACTCTGGAGGGAAGTAGAAACAGGTAGGCCGGGTGCCATGTTCTCTGTTTTCATGTCTTGCCTTCCTTCAGGTGAATGTGAAGACACCTATGAAGGATGAGACTCATTTTGAAGTGTTGGAATCCGGCCGATATGTCATTCTGCTCCTGAGTAAAGCGCTCTCTGTGGTCTGGGACCACCACCTGGCCATTTCAGTGGTCCTGAAGCAGACATACCAGGTTAGTGACCTTTCTTCCCTTCCTCTTCAGCTTGTCCATGATGTGGACCTTCTCTAGCCTCTTGAGTCAGTGCCCGCCACCCTTCCCCCTCACGAGTCTAAAAGTGATGGCTATCTAGTCGAGTCCCTTTGATGTAAGGTTCAGGGTTAGTTGTGGCTGGCCCACTCTGAAAGTAACCTACTAGCTCACTCTGAGTGTGCTTGCTTGTGGGAAGGTGTGAGAGCTGCCTTATGCACAAACAAATCATCATTGTTTCGCCAAGTAATGAAGAAAGAAGTAAACTAGTAGGAAATACCCTCTGATCACTCAAAACATAGCATAAACATTAAAGAGTACTCTTAACAGAGGACGTTAACTTACTTTTGAATAATGGGTCTATTGATTTTGAGAGCTATTTGTAGCACTGCTGATAACCTACTTTGAGAAAGCTCACAATATTTTCCCAAAGTATGACAGTTTGTTGGAACTTCTACTTTTTCACTAATTGGCGCATGTGTGACAAACATCTCTGTCTGTTATTGTGGCTGATTTAGGCCTTGCAAGAATGACCTTTTCAGCAACTAGTAGCACCAGGCATTTTCAGCTTGTGCACACAGTGAGGAGTGTATCATCCCTCCTTCTTCACTGGGCAGCCCTTCCTGAAAAACACTACCATTCAGTCATTTAACAAAGAATTATTAAATTCCCTGGGTGATGCAAAGGGTTAACACACGGAGCTGCTAACAGAAAGACTGAAGGTTCAAGTCCACGCATTGGCACTTCAAAAGAAAGGTCTGGTGATCCACTTCTGAGAGATTAGCCCTTAGAAACAAGGGAGCACTGTTCTATTCTGGCACACGTAGTGAGTCAGAATAACTCAGCGGCAACTATTCTTTATTTGGTGCCACAGTCCTAGGCACTGTGGAAAGAGCAGAGGGGAAACCAGATTTTTTTACAAGGTCTATATTAGTTTTCTATTGTTGCTGTAATAAATCACCACACAACGTGATTTAAAATAACATCAGTTTACTGTCTTTTAGTTCTGGAGGATGTTGTTGTTGTTGTTATGTGCGGCTGAGTCTCTTGTGACTCATAGCAACCCTATGTACAAAGCCCTAAATCCTGCTCTGTCCTGTGCCAATCTCATAGTCTCAGACACACCCACCCTGATTACTGCAGACACTGAATCAATCCCCCTCATAGAGGGTCTTCCCTTCCTGTGCTGTCCCTCTACCCTCCCAAACATGACGTCCTTCTCCAAGGACCAGTCCCTCCTTGCAACGTGGCCAAAGTATGTCAGATGAAGCTTCAGAATCTTTGCCTCCAAGGAGCAGCTGGTTTAACAAGGAATTATCAAATTCCTGATATGTATCAGAAAGTCCCTGGGTTATTCAAAGTGTTAACCCTCTCCAAGAGGAACCTGTTCTCTTAGCAGTGCAAGGTACACTTTATACTCTTCTCCAGCACCACAGCTCAATGGCATCAATTCTCCCTCTCTCCTCCCTAGTCATTGTCTAGCTCTCTGACACATAGCAAGTGATTGCAAAGACCATGGCCTGTATCAGGCATACCTTAGTTCCAGGGATAGAAGGCTAAAATTAGACTGCATTCATTTTGGAGAATCTTTCTTGCAGCTTCTAGCTTTGACAGGCTGCCTGTATCGCTTGGCTAGTACCTAATCTTCCATCTTTAATACCAACATCCTAGGGTCTATTCTCTCTCTGACCTCCTGCTTTCTTCTTATGAGGACACTTTAAATTTATAAGAGTCACCTGTGTAACCTAAGGACCCTTAACTTATGCATATTTGCAAAGTCCTTTTTGACATGTGTCTTAATATCCAGTGCTGCTGTAACAGAAATACCTCAAATAGATGACTTTAACAAACAGACATTTGTTCTCTGACAATTCAGGAGGCTGGATGTCTGGATCCAGGCTTCTGGCTCTAGGGGAAAACCTTCTCTCTTTATTGATTCTAAAGGAAAGTCTGTGAAAGAGTACAGGCAGTTTGGGGAAGGCCACATCTGACCTCCACTAACTACAAGAGGAAGAACTGTCCCCATCCACAATATGCACAGCACGCAGCCGATTTCCATGAGGTCAGACATGCCCTCATGCTTCTATAACTTGTTTTACCAATTCCAACATCAGTCACTCTCCCCAGGACTCTCACTGCCCTAATAGTCATCTGCAATCCTCTGCAATGGCCACATAGACTTCACAGAACCATATTCAAGTTATAACATTTATTAGGGAAGTTAACAGTTTACAATTCAGGTTAGACACAGGATGTAATTCTTCAGTCAGGACAGTTTCTCAAGCATGCTTGCAGGCCCTTTGAACTTCAATCTCAAGACCTAGGTCAGTGTTACCAAGTTCGCTCAGTCCTGCTATGGAGCTCCCCCTGCTGTCCTCCAACGAGTGCGGGTAAAGGTCCATGGCTCTGGTTTCATGGAACAGCTATTCCAGGTTAGTTCTATCTCTTTTTGATTCCTGGTTTTCTACTGAGGCTGCAGCTATTCTTGTGTAGTCCCTGTCTCACTGGCACAAGACTATCTGATTCCAAAGAATACACACTGCATTATTTACTTCTTCTTTCTTGCTAACAGAGAAAGTTCCCATTTCTGCTGCTGAATCCTGCTCAGTTTAAACCTGGAGGGATGGTAAACTGACCAATCCCCTCATGGACTGCACATCCTATTTACATGCTCCTGCCTTGCAGATAGGTCTAGGCATCCCATTTTTTTAAATTTTATCTTATTATTTTTGTGTGAGTGTACCATCAAATCAGATCTGACTGGTACAGGAGGAGATTGTCCCTCCTTCCCCAGCAGAGCATCTGGTGGATTCGAACCATACACTTCTGGGATTGTAGTTGCAGATCCTTGCCACTAGGCCACCAGAGCTCCCCTAAGGCATGCCATTTTGAACAATAAACCCACTATACCACAAGTTCATTGTAGTTTTTGAGCTTCTGCCCTTTTCAATCACATAGTGTGGCATCTTCTTATCTCTGCTTGCTTCTTAATCTGTTCCTTTTTATGTATCAGAAGAGATTGAAGACAAATCCTCTAATAATATGGTCTCATTAATGTAACAAGAGAAATTCCTGAGAAAATTGGATTAAGACCATAGGTACAGGTTACATTTTACAGCAGGTTTTTTTTTTTTTTTAATTCAAACTGTAACATCATGTTATCTTACATGTTCATAGATCCTGGGGATTAGGATGCAAACATCTTGGGGGGTCATTATCCTGCATACTGCAAGCTTTGTGGAGATCCTATTTTGTCAGGGATATTATTTTGAATAGGCTAATCTGATGAGAAATGTCTAAAGAGATGATGTATGAACAGTGTCTTCAAGGAGGGAAGGGAAAGAGATGTGTCAATATCTGGGGAAAATACATGTACTGAATGATACAATGACACATACCAAGACCCAAAGGTGGGAAGATATTGAACGAACAGGGAGACCAGCACTTGTGACTGGGCACTTGGGGTGAATGGTAAGAAATTAGGGCAGGGCCCATGCAACAGGGCATGGAGGCTGATAGGCAACAAAAAGATCTTTGATCTTTTGTTCAACTGTGAAAAGATTCTTGCTGCACTTTTCCCAATAATTTACACCCATTATTCGAAACCAAATTCTATTCACTGGTGTTAAGTAGGAAAAGTCACATATCTCTGCCCCAAGGCCGGGTTCTAAGATGCTGTGAGAAAAGGACATGTTCTTTTCCAAACCAAACAACTTCAGTTCTTTCTGTCGTTTTGATTTTGTGGCTTTCATTTAGTTGGCACCTCTGGTGGCCTACTGGGTAAGGAGCTGCACTGCCAACTCAGATGATGCAATTCCACGTGCTGCTCTTCTGGGAAGATGGACAGTCTCCTGTGTGATTTATAACCTCTCATCGCCACTGGAGGGTCAGCTATGAGTCGGTTCTGACTCAACAGCAAGGAGCTCTTGTGTTCTGTTTGTTTCTTCAGTAATTACTTACTCAGGGTGTGTTGCCTATTGCACAGAATGATGGGTGAATATGGAGTTCAATAAGGTATCACGTCTTCCTGGCTGGCATTTATTATAGAGCAGCCAGACTGCAGCTCTCCAGGGAAGGTGGCTCCTTGCCCGTGGGAAGGTTGGGCTGTAATAGCTCTTTCTTGGATCTCTGTACACTTACTAATACCATGTTAAACTAGCATCTCTCTCTCCTCATACTCTTATTGGGGAAGGTGACTGTTCAAGCTGGGGGCACCAGGGTCAAGTTGCCCTCCTTGTGAATCTCCTTAGTTTCTTTAACCACAGAGTGGTGCAGTGAGGAAGGCCTTGATCACAGCTAGTCTCTGCTGATCACCCTCGCTCCCACTCACTGTCTCCATCCTACCCTGAATCAGCCCCCTCTTCATCAGACAACCCCTGCCCCCTTTGCTGCTGGATCTTCCTCCCTCTCTTTCATACATTATGCCTCCGAGGTTTACAATATCTATCCCCTTGGCCTTCCGTCTAGGAGCGGGTGTGTGGCCTGTGTGGGGATTTTGATGGCATCCAGAACAATGACTTCACCAGCAGCAACCTCCAAGTGGAAGAAGACCCCGTGGACTTTGGGAATTCCTGGAAAGTGAACACACAGTGTGCTGACACCAAGAAGGTACGTCTGGGTCTGGCTGGACCGAGGCTGAGAGACCTTCTTCCTGAATGTATCTAGCTGTTCTCCCTGGGGCTGGGGAAGGTGTGGGGGTATGAACAGTGATGGTGGTGAGGCAAGAGGACCTCTAGGTCCCTGGGAGCCGAGCGCACCACTCACTGGCTGACTGTTGGCTGCTCTGCGTGCCCTGCTTTGTCCCCCCAGGTGCCACTGGACTCCTCTCCCTCCACCTGCCGCAACAACATCGTGAAGCAGACGATGGTGGACTCCTCCTGCCGGATCCTGACTAGTAACGTTTTCCAGGACTGCAACAAGCTGGTGAGGACCTTGAGAGTAACCAGAGGTAGCATGGTGTTAAGGGCACTCAGAGAGAGAGTTTCTAGGAGAGAAATCTTCTCATTTACATGCACCTTTTTAAGGAACCCAAGAGGTACAATACTTTAGTGCTTGGCTGCTAACCAGGAAAGTGATGGGTTAAACAAACCGTGTTTCTATAGGATAACAACTCAGTGAGCTGCTCCTGTAAATACTATGGCCAATAAGACCCTCTAGGACAGTTCTGCCCTGCCACCTCAGGGTCACTAACACTGGAAATGACCGCCACACTGCCCAGGAAAACTCTTTAGCTCCTTTATTGATGTAGGCTTGAAAAACAAAAAGGAAAATGGACAGTTTCTGTGGAGAGCAATGTTTGATAAATAATTTTACACAATGTATAGCTTGTCTAGACATCTGCAAACACTTCTCTGTACCATCAGTCTTGGGATTTGTCCTTTATTAAATTATGTTGCCTTAGATTCAGTCAGGGAATTCCTTTCCCCATCACCCCTCGGTTTCTAGACTTAAGTATTTCCTCTCACAGAACTTAACCATTATACACAGAAACTCATTTACCTCCAGTTTTCCTTCATGACTCCTGTTTTTGTGTTTTTCTCTCAAATGATGGTAAGGGATTCCTAGACCAAAATTGAAGGCAGTTCTCTCTTTATGTGTCTATGTATCTCTCTTTCTTTACGTGTCCGCATACGTGTGGTGCCTATGGGTTTATCCTGTGTCTGTGTGCAGACATATGCACAGCCATGTACGTACACGCACTGCTGTATAGCATGACCATGTTGAATACATGTGACTGGTCGAATACATTATCCAGCCAATGATTTTTACTCCTTGAGAGCTCCAAGGAATACCTGTGATTCTGACTTGGTGGAACCTCTGAACATCGAAACTGGAAGAGGGAAGACAGTGAGAGAAGCTAGGAGAAATAGGACTGTTGGAACCTCATGAAGCAGTGACTCTACTTAATTAGTTTCTGACAGAACTTCCCTGAAAAGGCTGGTGTGCAATAGTGGAATGCTTTGGGGGCCAGGGAAGGAGAAGAGTATGTATTATAATTGTACACAGACAGCAGGTGGACTCCAAGTAGATTTGGTGCCAGGGTCCAAGCGCTCCCAGTTCTCCGCTGTGGTCTTGCATACTGACCCACAGCGCCTTGGTGAACCAGCCTCAGTGCATCTTACCGTGTTCTCTCATTCCGCGAACTGCACTGAGGCAAGGAAGGAGCGTGACCAGCATGTGTGTGGTTTTGTGTTTGTGTAAAAATACTTAAATACTGATGAGGTTGAGAGTGACATAAGAGGAGGGACAGATAACCGGTGGACACAGAGGGGTGTAAAGTGTATTCCTTTGATCAATATCTAGGTACGTCATATTCTACGAAAGTTAGTAAAACCTTATTATCTCTAGTTTCTCTTACTGGAATCCACACTGTTGGAGTTAGAAACCATCAAATACAGCTCATAGTTACCAGGTGAACAACAGATATGAGCCTTGGCCTATCCTGCACCATCTTCATGATCTCAGTCATGCCCAAGCCTGTTATTGTGGTCCCTGTGTCAATCCAGATTAGGATTTGGGAGTCCTACCTTTTCTTTATTCCCTTATTAGCATCATGATCTACATCTCTTCTCCTATCCAGTAGCCCCCTTTCGCTTGCTCTAATGGCCAGGACATTCTCACCCAGACCAAGAGGCAGAGTTCCTAAGTCCTGGCCCCAGGCCTCACCCCCGAGTGGCTTTCTTTTCAGGTGAACCCTGAGCCATACCTGGATGCCTGCATTTATGACGCCTGCTCTTGTGAGTCCATCGGTAACTGTGCCTGCTTCTGTGACACCGTTGCTGCCTATGCCCATGCATGTGCCCAGCATGGCAAACCGGTGACCTGGAGGACAGCCATGTTGTGCCGTGAGTCCTGTGTCTCTCATGACCTTCAGACATCCCCACTCATTGCCCCATGTATTAGAATGAAAGATTTGTAGTTCGCAGGAGGACACTATCATGGGAGAGAAGTTAAGGCTTAGAATGGGGATGATGGTCAAGGACTGAAGAGAACTTAAGGAGATTGGTGTATGTAGTGAGCTGGTACTAGGGAAGAGGAGAGTCAGGGAATCCAGACATTAATATGTGGAAACTTCAGAGAAATTCTGGAACTATTAAGACAAGGAAGTCAATGTGCATCTTATTAATCACTATCTTATTTGTCAAAATGATCGGCTCATGAATTTAAAGCCTTCCTTCCTCAGTTGCAAGCAGCTCATCTTTTTTTATATGCCTATGGAAAGCCACCTCAGGGCCTCTTGACTCTGGTTTAAGTACTTTAGAAATCTAGAAGTGACCCTCACTGCTATCATTGTCACACCTCCTGTTCTGGGCCTTCTGTGCAGTCCTGGCTTCCTGCCTTATACAAGGACGCCCTGATGTGTGAATGGTCGTGGCCTATTTCTTCTGTCTCAACAGCCCAAACCTGCGAGGAGAGGAACCAGCGGGAAAATGGCTATGAATGCGAATGGCGCTATAACAGCTGTGCACCTGCCTGCCCCGTCACCTGTCAGCACCCCGAGCCTCTCGCATGCCCTGTGCAGTGTGTGGAGGGCTGCCACGCACAGTGCCCCCCAGGTAAGACCTCAGCAAGGCTGGTGGAGGGCTCAGCTCCTGGGGGAGGCTCAGGAAGGAGGGAGGAAGCACATTCTCAGGAAAGACGCTTCCCTGTCCTGCCTCTTCTCAACCCCGGCCTGGCGGTGTCCTAGCTCTGACCCTATAGCCATAGGTTCTGTGTCAGTAGACCTTTTCATCAGAGCCACGGTGGTTATGATTTTGTCAAGTTGCACTCCTATAAATTGCTTTTGTATGATCCTTTATGGGTTTGGTGTCCCAGGCTGAGATAATAATTAAGTGATCAGCTACTAATGGAGCAGTTAGAAGCCATCCAAGATCACCTTGGAGGCCAGGCCTGGTGATCTGCTTCTGAAACACTTGCCACTGGAAACCCTATGGAACAATTTTGCCCTGACACACATAGGGCTGCTGTGAGTCAAAACTCAATATCAATTGCTTATTTACGACTGGAGTTGCCTTCTAGAGCAGCACATTCTGATAGAACTTTTTTGCAATGATGGAAATACTCTATTGACATATGACTCATGTAACTGAGGAAGTGAATTTTCAATCTTATTTTGTTTTACTTTGTTTAAATATAAATAGCCACTTAAAACCCATGGCTGTCATATTACACAGCGATGATCAGGACCTATTGAAGATACTCCTCTGTACTGTGGAAGGACCCTTGAGAAAAGAGTTCACTTATCCTAAGCTTTGAGGGGGTCAGGTGGGAAAGGAGTACATTCTTACCAATTCTACAGAGGGATAAATGCAGGTACAAAGAAAAATTTTTTAAAAATGTTGTACTTAGGTGCTGAAATGACTGTTGCTGGAGACAGGAGTAAACCCCTGCCCGGCATGGAACAGAACAGGCCCCTTTAGTTAAAGATGGGTCCTCCCGTGAGCAGAGGTAGAGGTTTTGTCTCCTGAGGAGAATTTTTTTTTTGTTCAGGGAAGATTCTGGATGAGTTTCTACAGACCTGCATCAACCTTGAAGAATGCCCCATGTGTGAGGTGGCCGGCCGGCGCTTACCCACAGGAAAGAGAGTCACCTTGAACACCAGTGACCCTCAGCACTGCCAGATCTGGTAAAACAGAGGTTTGAAGTGATGGGTCTGTGGGACTTGCTCCAAGACTTATGTCTTGGATACAACTAGCTAATGAATTAAGATATTGAGTTATTCCTTTAGTTTGTAGAATTTGCTTATTTTTTCCTTGAAGATAGGCTAGATCTATTACCTCTCTGAAATATTTTCAAAAGGCGTTTACACTTTTCTTGCTGAAGGCAAGCCATGATTTCTTGTTGTCTCCTAAAGTTATGCCTAGTTCAAGGACAGGCTTGTATGCAAGTCATGCAAGTCACATTTCTTTTTTTAATACAATTTTAAAATTTTAATTGTTATTTTAATGAAAGTTTATAGTAAAGTTAGATTTTCATTCTTTCATTGTTTCACATTTTATCCCCTCCCTCCCTACATCCCTCCCCCCCAGTTCACTCCTCCCCTCCCCCCTACTGGAGAGAGATGTGGAGTAGAAAGCAAGGTGGCATCCCAATCTCCCAGCATATTAGAGACACCTTGAGGACCATAGCCAAGGTCACTGACGTGACTTTCACAATTGGGAAGAAAACACCCATGCCCGTGACTCTCAGCTGTCCCTGGAGAGGCTGGCCCCTGGGAAACTGGCCTCTAAGGGAGCAAGCAGTACTTCTTAGGATGAGCTCTGAGTGTTCCAAGTTTCTACACTTGAAGAGGGAACATTTATTAAAATGCCGATACATTCAACACCATTCCCTGACACTGATCAAACCTTATGGGAACGTAAACTTGAGAACTCAAGTTCTTTGGGGAGAGGTCTATGGCCACAGCTGCCAGAGTCAGATCTGTTGCCGCCATCTGTACAAACAAGAGCAAACCCTGCCTGGGGGGAGTGTTCTAGAAAATACAGGAAACTAGAAAGTATGTCACTCACGCACTGTGAAGCGAGGATTAAAGCAATAAATTGTGTGGGCCGTAAGGAAGTAGGAATTAACTTTACAGTCAGATCCTGCTTGTCCTCCCAGCTTGTGGAGAAAAGCAGGCTGTAAAGGATGGAGTGAGTCCAATGCTCTCCTGTGGGTTCTGAGCCACAGGGCATGAGAGCTTTAAGCCTTCTCTTCACCTTCCTTCACTGACACATGGGATGGAGCAGCTATCATGGTACACACCAAGACTTCAAACAAAGGTGTGGATGGTGGCATTGGAGCATGTTGGAGTCAAGCCACAGGGCAGTGCTTCCCAGGGCTCCTTCCCAGGTACCGCTGCCTTTTCTGCATTTCTGGGAAGTCTGCTTAAGACAAGGAGGCCTCAGAGGCCAAGGGAGAAAGTCTAGCCTGTGTGGATCACCACTTCAGAGTAGATTTGCGGTGACCAGTCATAGGCATCCCTGTGTATGATTACCTACTGAAAACTTGGATGTTCACATCTACCCAGAAATAGCTTGGAAAACAGGATTAGAGATTTGCTTCTAAAAAAAACGCATGACCTTGAAAACTCCCGTAGTTGACAGTTTAACTCTATAAAGGATGGTGCACCAGAATTGACTTGACGGCAGTCGCTTTGGTTTTTGGTGGTCTGTAACACCCTGCCACTTTTCAGGATGATGGTGAAGAAGGCTGGTGTGACCAGAAGAGGCTGGGAAGTTGGCCTGGTAGTGTAGGAATTTTTGTGTGTGGGAACTCCTCTGCCACAGATTTTTGACACATCTTTGAAGCTGGGCACCAGGCTTAGCCAATACCTGGAAGATAATAAATGCTCCATAGATGATATTCTTTGAGAAAATGAATAAATGAACCATACTCTTTTCTGATATCTAACACCTGAAGAACCATGTAGACCACTCCCAAGCTTTATCCTATTAAATAAAGCTGGGATTTTGAATCTGTATACATTTTTCTAAAACTGCTTTACTCTTTGTTTTTCCTTTCTTCTTTAAGACCCAACATATTAAACATGGTTCAGAAGTCACATTGGTAAACTTATGTGATAATATTATAAAGCAATTACTTTTTTTTAAATTCTTATACTGGTTTTCATACAAAGTTCATAAAGTTCAAGTTTCCTCAAACAGCTGAACATAGAATTGCACTGCTTGGAATATACCCTGAGAAAATGAGGACTGAGGCACAAACAGAGACTTGCACACCAATGTTCATAGCTGCATTATTCACCATCGCAAGAACATGGAAATAGTCTAAATGCCCAACCACAATGAAATGGATTGAGATATAAAGCAGTTACTGTCAATAGAACTTTTGCATGTAATGGTTAGTGTCAACTTTGAGAGCAAAATTTATCCTTAGTAATACTTGCAGTAAGGTTTGGATTATGATTAAATGCCTATATTGAATTCCTAGAGCCTTGGGTTGGAAAAAAAATGTTGGCTATGTGCATGGCCTAGAAACAAGAATCTTTTACAAAACCAAGCAAAGATTGAAGCTTAGGTTTCTAGAGTTAGCGATTGTTGTTGTTGTTATTTCTGTCGAGTTGCCTATGACTCATAGTGGCCCTATGTACAGCAGCTCTGAATCCTGTGCTATCCTGATCCAGTGTTACTGACTCAGACATACCTACCCCCATTGCTCTAGTTACTGCATCAATCCATTTCATACGGGGTCTTCCTCTCCTGTGCTGTCCCTCCACCCTTCTGAGCATGATATCCTTTTCCAAGGACTGGCCCCTCCAGGCCATGTGCCCAAAGTATGTGAGATGGAGCTTAAAAATCTAGCCTCCAAGGAGAAATTTTATTTCACCCTCTCAAAGACAGACCTATTTGTTTTCTTGGCAGTCCGTGGTATATATGTTCAAAAGTCTTCTCCAGAACCACAACTCAAAGGCATCAATTCTTCTTCTGTCATCATTAGTCATTGTCCAGATCTTTGATGCATAGCAAGTAATTGTGAAGATCATGGCCAGGATCAGGTGCACCTTAGTCTCTAGACTGGCATCTTTGATTCTCAGTACTCTGGAGAGGTCCCTGACAGCAGATTTTCCTACTGCAATTTATCTTATGATTTCCTGACTGCTGTTGCCAAGAATCAGAGGAGGTGGTGCTATTTGGAGACATGCTAAAAATGATGTCTTTTCTTTGCAAAAGACAAAAGACTGTGGAATCCATTCCTAGGACCTGGACCAGCAGGGACATGGAGTAGTGTGATAATCTTTGCAAACTTTCATCGTCTTGAATGGCTGGAGTGTCAAGAAGATGAGAGAGGAGGATAAAGAGGGAGTTAGGGACAAGGAGTTAGAAGGTCTGTATGTCTGGAAGGTCCAGAGTAGACTGGACCTGTAGGTACAAAGGGAAAGTCTTTAGCCAGCAGTGAGGACCCCTCTAAAGACTACATGATGTCTCTCCTGGGTAGAGAATGTTCTGTGGGAACTCATATTCAGGTGGATCAGACAGGTAGTTCTATGCACAGTGGTTCTTGTCTAGGGGTCCTCTAGAGAAATGAAACCATTGAGCTAGATAGACAGACAGACACACATACACACAGATTCATCTACCTCAAGGAATTGACTCATGTGATTGTAGGCAAGACTATGTCCAAAATCTGTGGGTCAGGAGATAGCCTGGATATTTCTGTAAACTTGTATCCCAAGATCTGCAGGTCAGATGACAAGGAGTGTAAAGTTCTATGAAAATACCTATTTGTAGTCTGAAGGAACATTGTCCTCCAGGAAAATTCTTTTCAACTGATTGATTACATCATATTAAATTACATTATGGGAGGTAATTGCATTATCATTCACAGTGGATTAAATTCTCAAACAGCAACAATAATACTAGTGTTTGACCAAACACCTGGGAACCATAGCCTGGGCGAGTTGATACATACTATTATTAGCCACAACAGTTCTCAGTAGCCCTGAGATGTGCCCATACATCCTCCCTGAACAACTTTGTTTCTCTCCTGTATTGCAGTCGCTGTGATGGTGTTAACTTGACCTGTGAAGCCTGCAAGGTGCCAGAAGACTTTGTGCTGCCTGCCTCAGTAGCCCCGGTCATCCCCACCACGCCATATGTGGAGGACATTCCAGAGGTGCCGCTGCATGACTTCTACTGCAGCAAGCTGCTGGACCTGGCCTTCCTGCTGGACGGCTCCTCCAAGCTGTCAGAGGCTGAGTTTGAGGTGCTGAAAGCCTTTGTGGTAAGCATGATGGAGCGACTGCACATCTCTCAGAAGCGGATCCGCGTGGCCTTAATAGAATACCATGATGGCTCGCACTCCTACATCGAGCTCAAGGACCGGAAGCGGCCATCGGACCTGCGGCGCATCGCTGGCCAGGTGAGGTACGTGGGCAGCAATGTGGCTTCCACCAGTGAAGTTTTGAAGTATACGCTGTTCCAAGTGTTTGGCAAGGCAGACCGCCCAGAGGCCTCCCGCATTGCCCTGCTCCTGACGGCCAGCCAGGAGCCCCCACGGATGGCCCGGAACTTGGTCCGCTATGTGCAGGGCCTGAAGAAGAAGAAGGTCATCGTGATCCCTGTGGGCATCGGGCCTCATGCCAACCTCAGGCAGATCCACCTCATTGAGAAGCAAGCCCCTGAGAACAAGGCCTTTGTGCTCAGCAGTGTGGACGAGCTGGAACAGAGGAGGGACGAGATCATTAGTTATCTCTGTGACCTGGCTCCAGAGCCACCTCCCCCAACTCAACCCCCCCAAGTGGCACAAGTCACTGTGCGTCCGCAGGGAACTATGCTGCCGGAGCCCACACAGCGCTCCATGGTGCTGGATGTGGCGTTTGTTCTGGAAGGATCAGATACGTTTGGAGAAGCCAACTTCAACTGGAGCCGGCAGTTGTTGGAGGAGGTGATCCAGCAGATGGACGTGGGCCAGGACAGCATCCACGTCACGGTGCTGCAGTACTCAAACGTGGTCAGGGTGGAGTACACCTTCAGCGAGGCACAGTCTAAGGATGCTGTTCTGCAGCACGTGCGGGAAATCCAGTATCTGGGTGGCAACAAGACCAACACAGGACTGGCCCTACAGTACATCTCTGATCATAGCTTCTCTCCTAGCCAGGGGGACCGTGAGCAGGCCCCTAACCTGGTCTACATGGTCACAGCAAACCCTGCCTCTGATGAGATCAAGAGGCTGCCTGGAGACATACAGTTAGTGCCCATCGGAGTGGGCCCTCACGCCAATGTGCAGGAGCTGGAGAGGATCAGCTGGCCCAATGCCCCCATTCTCATCCAGGACTTTGAGAATCTCCCCCGTGAGGCTCCAGACCTGATATTGCAGAGTTGCTGCTCTGGGGAGGGCCTGAAGATCCCTACTCTCTCCCCAGCCCGAGGTAATGAGGTGCCTGTGTGTCTGGGTGGGAGGGGTACAGAAGGTCTACCATGGTGCTGTATCATCCATACCAAAATGGGATTCTTGAGCTTTACCTCTGGCTTCCTGACTGTTTGCCCCTTGATCTAATTGCTGCCTATGCTCCTTACTTCTGGGCAGAGAGGTAGATTTCTGAGACTTTTTGGAGCCTTCCCCCCGCCCCTTACTGTGTGTGTTTTTAAAGTCAAAGGCAAATCGTGCTTACTGTTGGTATTTAAATAAGCATTAAGTCATTCATGTATAAAGTCTAAGTCTTACTTTATCACAGAGTCTCATCCCCACCTAGCCTCATTCCCTGTATTGGTGGTAATCCTGGTTAAATTTAATGACTATTGGCTCCCTTTTGACAACTGATGAAAAGATTCTAAGTAGCCAACATACTGTGGAACAAGGTCCTAGAGATACATCTGTCAAGGAAGATGATAGAATAAGTCCTCAGACTCTGGAGCCAGATTTCCTGAGTTTGAAATCTTGCTTCTACCGCTTAACTAGCTGTGTGAATCGGGACATGTACTTAACCTTTCTGGATATCAGTCTCCTCATCTGTAAAATGGAGCTAAGAACAGTATCTATTTGTAAAACGTTTAGAACAGTGCCTGGTACATGACAGGGCTAAAAGCAAAACCAAAGAAACCACAAAACCCTTACTGTACTCCTTTTAATATTGCCTTTTGAATCAGTGTTGTTGTTGTGTGCCTTCAAGTTGGAATCGATCCATAGCTGATCCTCCAAAGGGTTTTCAGAGGTGGTTAATCACATGGGAGGAGACTGTCCATCTTTCTTCCTCAGAGCAGCTGGTGTATGTGAACTGTGTGCCTTTGGTATTGCAGTACAGTTTTTTACCACTAGGTCATCCGAGTTTCCTCTAAATCAATGTTGTTGTTATGTGCTGTCGAGTCACTTGCAACTCATAGCGACCCTATGTACAATAGCCCTGAAACCTGGTCTATCCTGTGCCAACTTTACTGTCTCTGACACATCTACCCTCATTACCCTAGTTACTAAATCAATCCATCTTATTGTCTGTCTTTCTCTGTCCCTTCACCCTTCCAAGCATGGTGTCCCTCTCCAAGGACTGGTCCCTCCTTGCCACATGCCCAAAGTATGTCAGATGAAGCCTCAGAATTCTTGCCTCCAAGGAGAAGCCAGTTTCACCCTCTGTAGGACAAAGCTGTTTGTTCTTGGTATATTAACACTCTTCTCGAGCACCACAGCTCCAAGGCATCAATTCTCTATCATTTCTAGTCATTTTCCAGCTCTGTGATGCATAGCAAGCAATTGCAAAGACTATGACCTGGATCAGGCGCATCTTAGTCTCAAGACTGACATTGTAGACTTCAGTACTTTGGAGAGGTCCCTGACAGCCATCTTTCCCAGTGCAATTCATCTCTTGATTTCCTGGCTGCTGGTACCAAGAGTGTCAATAATAGTGTCTAATTCATTCCTAATTCTTGCATGTCTTTATTTGGTTTACTTAGGACCACGCCAAAAGAACTAACTTCCTTTTAGTGCATCTTGACCCTTACACTTGTAAGCACCTCTTTTAAAATAAAATCAGAGTAATTTATTTAGATTCTTATTTCTGCTGAGGAGAAGAGACATTGTCTAACCAAATATCATAATAGTGTTTAGATCAGACTGTGTTTCCTTACTTAACTCTATAACCAAGCAGTAAGATGAGCACTTAGCATGTCTCATTAGAAATATTCTTGTATCTAGATGTTGCAAAGGGTAATGCACTCAGCTGCCAACCAGAAGGTTGGTAGTTCAAGTCAACCCAGAAGCATGTTGGAAGAAAGGCTTGGAGATCAGCTGAGAAACTGGGGGGGGAACCTCCAGAAAAACCTCAGTGGAGCACAGTTCTCCTGTAGCACACATGTGGCTACTGTGAGTTAGAATTGACTCAGTGGCAATTAGTGACATAAACCCCCCCCCACACCGCATAGGGAGCTGGTGGCTTAGTGGTAAGGAGTTGTGCTGCCAGTCCCAAAGATAGATGGTTCTAATCCATCAGCTGCTCTGTGAGAGAAGGATGGGCAATCTTCTCCTGTATGATTTACAGCCTCTGGAAACCAACTGCAAAGTTCCAACTCAACAGCACATAACCACCACCACCACCACCACCTACCACATAAGAGGTGAGGATCCATAAGCCTCTCTCCACGGGATACAGTGCTGTTTTGTTTTGTTTGGCTCTCTTCTTGTCTTTCCACTCTATGATTTCACTCAATTTGGGAAGCCTTGTAGTCTCTTGTTACTGAGGGAGCGCGTGACTCTTACTTTCTTTTGTAGGATTTTAAGTAACTCTGAGTGGACTGGAGTCTTCCACATGTCTCCAAACCCGCACCTCCATTTCACTCTTCCATCTTCCCTGGCCCGTGTTTCCATCACACAGGCCTGATTGAGGTTCTTCCCTTCTCGATATAAAATCATATCAAATGGCTTGCTGGTGATGTTCTTGTTGATGTGCGTGTCTTGCTGCTGTGGGGCTGATAGCCGAGTCACCCTTCTCTAGCTGGTGCTTGGCTACTGACCCCTCTGGTTTCCCTTGCAGACTGCAATCAGCCCCTGGATGTGGTTCTTCTGCTGGACGGCTCCATCAATGTCCCAGCTCCTTCCTTTGAAGAAATGAAAAACTTTGCCAAGACTTTCATCTCCAAAGTAAATATTGGTGAGTGATGCTTCTGAAGAGAAGGTTAAGAAGAGGCTCTTTCTGGAGTTTCACTTGATGGAAAAAGTGTGATTCCTCTTCTTTCTTCTCAGGTCCTCATCACACTCACGTGGCAGTGCTCCAGTTCGGAGGCATCATCACCATCGATGTCCCATGGAACGAGGCCCAGGACCGGGCCCATTTACAGAATCTGGTGGACCTCATGCAGCAGGAGCGTGGCTTCGGTCATATTGGTAACATGAGGCCACAGGCTGGTCCTATTTCTTGGCAGAAATGATGGAGTGACCTCAGCTTGTCACTTTGCTCTTGATATCTTTTCTCCACTGTAGAGTAAGGGGCTAATGCTCCTTCACATCTCATAGATATGAATGATCTGTTTCTCTGAATTTCTGAATCGTTTCTCTAACTTTTGAACGACTGAAAGATCCACTATGAAACAGGGTGCCTACTGACCTAGAAACTCCATTTTCACTCTCAGTACTGACTTAGGGTGCTCTGTTTCCCATCACCAGGGTATGCTTTGGACTTTGCTGTGCGCTATGCAACTTCAGAAATCCATGGTGCCCGGCCTGGAGTCTCCAAGGTGGTGGTCATTCTAGTGATGGATGTCTCCGTGGATTCAGTGGATGCAGCTGCCATTGCTGCCAGGTCCAACCGTAAGTGCCCAGTGTACCATCCAGAAACTCTCCTGCAGGGCTAGAGGCTGGGAAGCTGGTGACAGTTGGTTTCTGATAATGCTGCCCTAATAACTCAGTTATTTGGAAACTAAACAGCAATAAATATCTGATTATCCTTTCTTATCTGCATGGTGTAGGTGGCAGCCTGTTTTCTTTCACATTTGTCTCTCATGTTTAGAGGCAGGTCGTACCTCTAAACTTTAATGACAGATATTTTTTAAATTTTGGTCTGGAAGGAAGGGTTATTATAAGAGTATAGTCTGGTGGCTGGTGATACTCTTGATGGTGGTTGGGCAAGGGAAGTTTCCGGGGTTCTTTTTGTGGTGTGTTACTGTTCTTCTTTCCCCCCTCAAATGTGGTGGCCCTTGAGCCTTAGACTAAGGGTAAGAGCAGATTCCTACTTAAAGGTGTGTAATTAAAATCCTGTAGGATTTTAAAATATATTCGTTTTAAATTTTAAATTTATTAATT